CGCATGCAAATTCTCGAAATAGGAAATGGGAAATGGAAATATAAGCCGTAAGCCGATGTGAGTTAGCAGATACCAACTACGAAATGCGCACACACTGTTAGGAGTTATTGGCTTTGGTCCTGCGGCCAACGAAAAATGAACAGCAGTGCGGCAAATCCTTTTCTAAAAAGGTCGCTCAAAAATCCTTTCACAGTAAAATTGTTACTGACCAGGAATCCAGAATCCAACCCAAGAAAAAGAGCGCCAAAAAATGTCTTTGTCCTCGGCCGTTTTGCTCTACCCCAGATAACAGATTTTTTGAAAAACGGAAAACCGAAAAATCCATGCAACGATCCTCGAGGAGGTGGAGTTAGTTACTCAGATATTATCTTGGGTTCGGTACGGCTGGACCTCAAGTGGGCTGAAAGACTCGGTTCGGTCAGCTGACTGGCAAAGAAAATAAATAAACTAAATGAAATCCTTTTCTGCAGCTCTCCCTCCAGTTTCTCCGTTTTTCAGTTTTTCCATTTTTCCTCATTGTTGACAGTCCCGTTCATTGAAGCGTTTATCATCTGGGAGATCCGAAACTTCAGATACAGCAGAATGGACCTCACTGTGGGTGCCATTGATAACTGGCTAGAGAGATCACTGTGGCCATTCATCCACAACTAATCTGCGTTTGCAATAATTATTTGTCCAGGAAAATAAGAGAGATCTCCTATTGGAACCTGCTCTCCAAAATTAAGATGATGATGATGCGCAAAATGTCCACCTTATCGTGATATATCCTTTGGCCTCTTTTTTTCTGCTTTTCCTGTAGTTAAGTGTAATGTATAGGGATTTGAGTGCTGATTTGGTGACCACCAAGGAGGCAGTCGAGATTAAAATCAATTAGCCATAAAGTGCAGCATCTCAATTTGGCATCGCCGGCGTGGGCGAAACACTCGTCTGGCCAAATGGGCGTTACTTTGGTTTACAAAACGGTTATTAGGTACTAAAAAATTTAACGAGGTTCCATAAAAGTTAGAAATCAATAAGGGAAACATATGAAATCCTAAACATGTTCAACTTTCTTCTTTTACATAAGAGAAAGGTTCTTAATATGCATTGAATGACCTTTCCCTTGCTTTTCTATTAATGAAAGCCAATTTGTCAGCCCCCAAAACATTATTATCCGACAATTTTCATGTCTTTTCCGCATTAAAATTCATGATTCCTCAAATATACCCATCTACTGGAGGTCTTTAACACTTTTCCCACTGTTTAATATTTTCCACGCATCATCATTTGGTCAACTTCCTTCCGTCTTGGCCGGCAGCAAATCGGCTTATTAAAACGATTTCCTCCAGTGAGTTTCCGCCAGCGTTTCTATTCCATAACATTGAAAATGTTGGCAAACAGCGATGCGGCAAGGTGAGTAAACTTGATTCCTAGCCCAGCTGAAAGGGGCTCGATCGGCATTCAGATAGAGCCGAAAGGAAAACAACAGCCTTCTAAGAACCCAACAGAAGCATTAAAATCGGTGGGGAGCGCTGCACGTACTCGTTACTAGACAAACCTGTTGGACGTGCGCCCTTTGGAGAAAAATCAGGAAAAACACCAAGGCAGGAGAGGACTGTACTCGTGTACAGTGAACGCCCTGGAACGGATGCCAGTACCAGTTTGGAGCCCACAAACAAACAAATAAGCGTGCAGCCATAGAGCTGCGAACTGAACCGAACTGGGAACTGGGATGTGCCATGTGGTGGGATGGAGTCTTGGGGAGGTAGGGAGTGATCTTGGTCGTGATTACACAGTGGAATCGCAGAGGAAACAGGCGACATTCCTGCCATAATAAAGGGGTACAGATGGGCTCCAATGCACGGTCAGAAAAAGAGGCTCTTAAGGGAAGCTCTTATTTGCCAATCTTTTTGATATTCAACTTTAATCTATTACTAGTACCTTACCCGCAAACCTAGACAGATTTCCTTATAGTACAACCCATTTTCTTTCAGTGATTGAAAAAGGCGTCGAAAGGGGGCAGGAATGTAAATGTTTATGTATCTATGGGATGCCTTACATATGCACACATCCATTTATGTACGAGTATGTAGAGGCCTAGGCGATCCACCGAAAGGTGACTGATCTTTACAATTCGACACTTTGACTTTACAAGCGAGAAAGAAGAATCGAAAAAGGGAATGGGGGAATGGGTTTGAGAATAGGTATGGGTATGGGGCTTGGTTTGGGGATGGGGGATTTCAAGATAGAAGATCGGGAACAGGGAATGGGAATGAACGGACACTGAAATCAAAACAAAATCCATCGAAGAAAACAGAGTTGTAGAAACAGAAAGCCGAAAGGTGAGGCGAGGGCAACAAGCCGACGAAACGAAGACATAAAACAAGTATCCATCTCTGAGAAAAAAGGATGCACGACTCGCATCCATGAGATACACTGTGCAAGAAGGGTCAAGGCGAACGGAGATTTAAGTACTTTTTTAGGCATGGCTTATGATGGATTTGCCTGGCTGAGCATGCTAATGGATTTTTCGATTTTCCTCTCTTGCTCCGACAAACCGACAAACTGACGTTTTTTTGGAAACATCAGACATGAAAGCTGCTCGGGGTTTTCGGAAAATGCGATAAATGTAAATGGATATGATGGGGTTAGGCCTGAGTAAACCAGTTCTAAATGAAAACCTAAATGTACAGGCACACAGCATTCAGAACTTGTTGAGCTGGCAGCTGGCCGAGGATTTCCATGTTCTTAGCTTTAATTTGGTCCGGTTCGCCTTAAAGCTATGAAGTTAAAGTGCGAGTAAATCCACCCTGCAGTTAGATACGAACCGAGCAAACTGAGTTTGCGTAATTTTTATGACGGAATTATTACATCATTCATCTTCATCAGGCGACAATGACACAGACTTCGTGCTTATCGAGCGACTGCATAATGTCTTGACCAAATCGCAGGGATGCGGGCACCGGGGTGGCATGGGAAAAGTCTTAAATGCAAATGTCTGTCTCTCTGATTTGTAATCAAATTAAATTGTGTTTTGTCCAAACAATGGGAGACTCACGACTGGAGACAAGCGACAACATCGCATCCGTGATAAAAGTCGAAATTCCTGGTAAACGCCAAAGTCAGGCCGGAAAATGCAGTTTTCCCACAGTTACCGCACAGCTCCAGCTCCAATCGCTTTCTAGGGAAACTCCCTCACCACTCTCTGCTTGTGAAAACCTCATAAATTCTCACTTTTTGGCAGGCCGCACACGGCGTAGGAAATCCGAGGCGGCAGGACTCGAAGGACACAGCGCCAGCGATGAATAGACATTCCCGAGATAATCAACGGCATTATCTTCTGATTATTATGTATTCTTGGGGCATTCCAGAGAATTGCGTTGTGAAAGAAGCACCGAGCTCGCAAAAAATATCGAACTATATCCGGGATGATCGGCGGATGATGAGGATGCCGGGACACCCGGGTGAGTGGCTGAGTATCCGCTTTCCTTTTTTTACTTTTTTTTGCAAATTCCCTGTGAGCTCATCATCATCATCATCATCAAACCCTCGGTCACTTGAGGTTTAAGCCAACATTAAAAAAGAGCCGAAAAAAACACCCAAAAACGAAGTAAATCAGTGGAATGAACGTGAGAACACCGAATGTCCTCGTACAGAAATTTGCTTGGGCTCCTCATTGTTCCTTGAAGTGCTCGAGAGAGATTTGCTAGTTGTGTCCTTATTGTCTGCGGGTGAATGAAGAATGGATGAATGAATGAAGTTCACGTCCGCATAAAGTATCTCAGTATCCGAGTATCTGAGGGATATTGCCGCGTTTTTAGCTGGAAATTGAAGAGTCCCGGATGCAGTCGAGGCGTGAGAAGGAGGCGATCTCTTGCGGCCTTGGCAACAAGTCTATTAGGGCCAGTCACTTGTTTATGGCTTACGTAACTTGGGTGGCAAAGGATGTGAAAATCGGGGATTGTGCAAAGGATGTGCCCTGATTTCTGCGAGTTGGGTAAACACCAAGCATTCAGCCCATCACCTCGCATCCTTTTTACCCTTGACCGATTGCAAATGCAAATCGCACATTAGAAGCCATGTGCAACTTTCCGCCCAGCAGTCAAACATTATGCAACCAAAACCGAAGGCCGCCAGTCTCATTGATGCCAAATGGCAGGGAAACCCATTCGGGGCACGTTTTTATGGAGGTGCGAAATGGCACATTTTGTTTTTTTTTTCTCGTTTTGACGGAACCTGCCGCGACATTGAGTCGTCCTTTTTAGAACCTGTGCAACCTGTGCATTGCAAGCCTTGCAATTTGTCACCTGAGGCGACATTCAAACTGCCAACGCATTCCAGCTGAGTTTTTGCTTTCGGCCTACTGGGTCCTTTCATTTGGCCACGATTTGGTAGCAACAGTTTTATGAATCGGCAATCTCTCCCGACCGACCGACCGTTACGAATATTCATTCAATGCACGGCACACACTCTGGGGACCTTGAATGGGGCTTCGAGTTGCATCCTTTGACTTCATAAAATATTTATTAAATTTCCAATGAAAATATTTGTGCCGAGTTTGCCAAATCATTTCCTTGTGCTGAATGGGGAGGAACTTTCCCAGGCCTCGCTGGTCGGAAAATGCAATTTATATTTATGCAATGGGAAAGGTGTGAGAAGGTTTGACTTTTTAGGTCTTAGGGAAACCTCAAGGGAAAGGCTTTAGATTCTGGGTAAAATTCAGCAAAATTAGGGATCTGATTTTGCAATTTTTTATGAGAAAGGTTTTATGGTCAGGTAAAATGTGATTGATAATAAAAACTTCCTGTTAATGCTATAAGAACAGCGGTACTACTTAGCAAAAATGGTTATGTAGCCTTCAATCAAAGTAGCTTTTGACTTAATTTGTCGTGAGAACTGAAATTGTTAGAACTTCTTCTGCCAACTGGTAATCATGAAGAATTCCTGGAACTTAGCCTCTATAGGGTCTCTGGTGGTGCCCCACAAATCGGTGGGTTTACCCAGTTATCCGAGGGACGAACATGTTTTTCAGGATTCGTGTTCCGTGCCTAAAAGAGCTAGAAGAGAAGATGCTCTACAAACGCAGACAGACTCTAGAGCCAACGAATGTGGGAAAAGTCCAAGTGAGTGGGTAAACAATCAGAGACTAGTTAATCTATATGTATTACCAACTTTCTCAGCAAGTTCTCAGTCCCTAAGGTCAGAGGCTGCACCGCAACAGCCTGGGAAAGTGGTAGTCCAACCACCGAAACGATTGCCTCCCGAACCGGAGAACGATCGGCGGATGTATATACCGGATCTACATCAATCCATAACCCATCGCGATGTGTTCAACTATTTCTGCAACTTCGGTGACTTGGAGTGGGTTAGCGTGAAGAACGGCTCCGATAGCTTGAACTACGCCATGGTTCTGTATACGCGAACTGCCTCAATGGAGAAGGCCATCAAGTCGAGTCCCCACCTAATCAAGGGACACGAATTAAAATGCCGCAAGGCGAATGCCAAATATCAAAATAAGGGAAGTAGTCAATATAAAGCCAAACCAAAATCCCCAGTTAAGCCACCTCCCAAACCACCTGTATTGACGCCCAAGAAAGAGGAAGCCAAGGGCAGCGTCCCTCAGAAGGTGAAGAAGAGTCCTGTCCAACCAATTCGCAGATCGGCACGCCTTCAGAAATTGGTTGAACCCAACCATAAATCTGTGCCTCCCAAAAAAGTAGAAAGAATCTATGCTTATGTGGCAACCACAAAAGATCGAGTTTCCCGATGGACCAGATACTTCGAAAGTCCGGATGTCGAGACGACACACAAGAGGTGGCTTCCTAAGGCCGCGCAGATTCTACTGCATTTAAGAGAAAAAGAGGCAGCCAGGGCCGCCAAATCTATCAAGCCAAGTGTACCAAAGAATCTGGGAACTCCTCGCGCTTCGGAAAAACCTCTTATTTCCACTGGCCAACCTTTACCTCCCCAGCTGCCTGTTACTCCCAAAGTTCCTCTTCCCACAAAAGTTTTCCATGTGCCTTCCAATCCAGATCTGCGTTCCTTCGTGCTCTCCACTCTGGGCCAGAACTATGTCCACCACTGCTTCACAAATGTGGAAGCCTATCGTAGGACCAAGTGCTATGTGGATTTGCAGCCCGAGGAGATGCGGAATCGACCCACTATCAAGGACTATGTGGATCATGAGCACGCGAAATATCTACCTAACTTCCATCTCCGTAAAACTTCTAAGAATATTTAACATTATTATATAAAAACGAAATGTTTTCAATGAAATAGGCTTGACCCTCAACAAATTGGGGGAATCCGAAAGGATTCCTGGAAAATATCAAAGGAGTTGCTTGAAAGGAACGTGAAAATATTATTAAAAAAAAGTTAATTCCACTTTCCGATCACATTTAGACCCTAACACAACCCAAGGGCACTCCAATTGCAGCAACCTGTCAACATAATTAATCCCCTGGATCAGCTGATGGCGGCGGCACTGCCCTTCTTGAATGATCCACAAAATATGAACAATTCATATGAGAGCAGAGAATGCCATAAAGGAGAAAAAATAGTGGGCCTTGATTTCTTTTTAGCCCCTGTGTTTTGCCCGACATTCCCAAGGATGTGCCTCCAAAGAGCTGGTTGTTCTTGTTGTTGGCCGTGTTAATTGTCCAACATTGTGATCGTGGACGTGAACAGGTCGGGTGCCATTAACAATCTTAACAACGATCCACAGCCACAGCCAGAGCCGCAGCGATCCCACGGCTTGTCGCCTTGCTTCTCGAACGGTTTTTTATGCCATTTACAGAGAAATCTTGCAACAAATCAGGAGCTCCTTTTTACCAAAGTAAATATGAGTGTGCGAGAGCGACCTTTATTCGTTTGATGTTAAAAAATTGTTCTACCTTTTCCCCCTAGTGGCTGGCCAACTCTGTGAACCTGTGACGACGCAATTCTTTGCCATTATCAGCTGCATCCTTACAGGTCCTGCACTAGTTCCCGTTCTCGATTCAATTTGGCTTTTATTGGGATCTCGGGCATCCCGATTCCGTACCCGATCCCGATGCGATCCTAATTGCGGTGGCAATAGCTCGGCGGTTAATCACTCTGTACCTGCGGCTTAGACAGTCAAACCCTGCAGTCAGTCATCGCGGCGGAGGCGGAGGCGGAGATACATTATATATATATATATGGTCCTGCAAATGGATCGACCTCGATGATTTTCACCAGCCAAATTGCGGCTTTGTGTTCTACCTTTTCCCATTTGCCGGTGGATACATTTTGGGCTGGATCGTTATCTGGTTCCCTTTGTGCTTTCAAGGTTTATGGTCTAATTCACATATTTCCTGTGAGAACAAATCCCAGGCTTGATGACCCCCGTAAACCCGAGTAACATCCCGACTAGCAGCAACAACATTCCACTAAGTATTCCCATTCCGATTTGGGGCGATCGCGTACTCGCAGCCTAGAAAATCTACATAATGACAGGGCTATACCGAAAACTAGTTCAGATCGCAAATTACGAACCGGTAAGGGATGGGATGGTATGGGATGGGAGATATATGGTTGCAGTTCCCATTCAGGACAGGACATCAAGCGCAACGGGAGACGCGGCATTTGAGGTTCGGCAAAGGTCATGTCAGGACTTTGCATAAAATATTTGAAAATGTTTTCATTATGGTAAGTAGACACAAAAGCCCAACACACACGAGCGATTCCCACCGAAAGGGGTGTCCTTTCCCAGCCCATCCTGTGCCCAAGGATCTTGGCATATATTGGTGATAAATTAGTTTAATGTTTGGAACACCAAACTACCAAAAAAAAAAAAGAAGAAAAATAGAAAGACACTCAACCGCAGCTGAGGCCGTAAAGCTTGGCACGAAAAATCGCCCTACTATTTTTTGGCGGCATTTTTCCGACATGTACGTGTCCACGGAAATGAACTCGAGTCCTGGCAACTAATGAACTGCGCAAACAATGTGCCACTCTTTGAGGAAAAAACTACACAAGAGTCACGTTTTGAGAAATTTTCACATCGCTGATTTTAAATGGAAAAAGAGTACACGAGGTGGACATTGCAGGACAAACAGGAGATCAGGACATGACACAATTGCAGGTCGCCGGACAATTGTTGCACTCACGCACGTGCAATGTGTTCTTAGATCTTTGGATTTCGAAGTCGAGTGCGCATAGCCACGCCCATTGTCTATATAGTCGGCTGTATATATATACCATATAGTGAGTTTTCTGAATGGGCCGACGAGAGTTACGAGTTACTTTGAATAGCGGCCTCAGTGGCAAGTGGATCAGATCCTGCGACAATGGTCTTTGTGTCCTTTGTGTTCCGCCTTGTTGGGGGTGTGCGGTGTTGTTGCAATTTTAGTGTGATTTTATTGTTATTAATTGTATGAAATGGGTTTTTAAATGGGCTTTGTTCGAGCCAAATGAATGGACATTAAAGGAATAGTTAAAACGTGTTCTGTCAAAGGTATGTAATATCAAAGGTTTTTTAGGCGGGACAAATAAATCTGGAAATTGTAACAAGATTTTCATTTGTTTTTGGTTATGGCATGAGAAATAAAAAGGTGAAAACTTCTTTAAAAAATATTGTAAAAACATTACTGATTATACTTAAAACTCAAGGCTATTGAGACTAAGAAGTTATTTTAAAAGCAAACATAATGGCTGGAAATATGATCATGTTGAGAGTGCTTAAAGAAAAAGAGTATTAAGGTCAGTCCTCTGAATAGCCAATACAAAAAGTACTTAAACTACAAGAGTTCTAAGGACTTCTCTTAAGAAAAACAGCAGTACCCCTTGGAAATATGACCAGAAGTGTTCAGAATTCCAATATTCTAAGGTCAAACCTTACAAAAACCACAAGATACCTTCTGGCAGCACTTTTAAGTCGCCTCTCAAATTAAACAGAAGTTACTTTCCATAAAGGATTCTTTAAACGAACTCCTCCTTTCACCAATACCCCATTGGATGCCTTTCATTGCCCTTTTCTGATATGATTTTTGCCTCTTGAGGCGATTTCCGCACAGCTTCTTATCTGGCTGCCGTTTGTTTAACACCTACTTCAAGGATCGCGCGAACCAGAACGATGATTTTTTACGGCAGGCACTTAAAAAAGTCTCTATAGAAACAATAACCGGAGTTGGGAAGCCTGTAACCTGTTACAATGCCTTGCATAACAGGGAAAACCCGTGCAGAGCGCGGCAGGTAACTCTTCGGGGAGTTTTGGACTCGCTTCGAGAGGCTTGTAATTCATATTTCCCAAACAATTTCTCTACGCAATTCCAACACTTTTGTCCCGGCATAATTTCTAGGTTTTCAGATCCAAAACCGAGCACTCAACCTTTGTCCGCGATGGTTAAGTATAATAAAACCCTCGGATGCTTGAAAGCCAGGCGGGGGCTCGAAAGGTTTTTGAAGAGGCCGCGACTGCGACTGCGACTGCGTTTCTCACTGTGCCAGTGTCATCCAAATGCGTTCCAGGAATATCTTAGAGATAGAGCACTGGCCATTCAATAAATGATTCTGGTCAATGGCAGGGAGTGGCCAGGAAATCCCATTCAGAGATGACCCGACAACGATAAAAGCCGACTAGCCCGGAATGCGGTTGAGCCTGCCGCCTTGACTGATATTTATGGATTCATTTGGTTATTTCTAGGAATTTTATGGGTTACTTTTTTATATATACCCGTAACTGTTTTGATACGCAAAATAACTGAAATACAAACGCAGCTGTGTGATATGGAACAGTGAGAAGTTTACCTTTTCCTAAATCAAAGCATGCAATACCCTTGCTGTCTTTTAAGTACAAAAAGGTATACAAGTTTTAGTTCCTAAATAAAAAAGGTTTTTCGCATAAGAAGATCTGTGAAACCTTTCCTAGTATACTATACTATACTTTGTATGGGATTAACTTAATGACAACTCAGCAAAATATATATCTTAGGCCTTCCATAGCCAATAAATCAAATCAATAGAGTATTCAAAAGCCTGAATAATGGATCAATCGGAGCAGATTCTCAACTATATATAGCACATAATTCGCTTCATTCACAAACCAAAGCACGCGCCAGAGTTAGTAAATATTGAAAGAAGCAGAAAATCAAATAAAATAAAATGAAAAATTCGCAAACAAATGCTTGTATATATGTGCATATATGCATGGTATATATATATGCGATAAGTCTGCATAAATTTCCGACTGGAATTGTAGCGAATTGTTGACTAAAAATCGAGGGGAAACCGGAGGAGTCGAGCAATTCTACTGGGAGCACGTCGCAGTCGTTTCCGTAGTGAGATAAAATATGATTTGCAGATACACACACATGTCTTTTTGGCTCCCCATTATTTGCACACTTTCGTCTGGGGAGTATATCATCTGGTTTCATATGACTATATCTTTTTTCTTCTTTTTCTTCTCTGCATCCCCCTCAAGGTCAGCCTTCAAAAGAAGCGCTGCTGTGGGGTGCCATTGATAAGGAGCGGCAAATAACGAAACGGCAGTTATAAAGCAATCAAAAATCCGTTTCTTCCATTCATAAAAACTCGGTTTATCAGTGGCGCACACATGCGGGTTAAGCGGAAAGTGGGAAGGCCAGAGACGGGGGCCGATATTGTCGGTGACGTCACTCGGGTGCAGCTGGCGCTAATACATTTTTTGCCGCTGTTTCTGCTGCACTCGCTCCGGTTTCCGTTTCTGCGCAACCCGCAGACTCATATTTCCTCTGCACTTTACAGAGAAACAAAATTAGATTATTGTAAACATCATTTCATGGAGTTAATATTTCATAGATGACCTCATTAGACATATAAACTTTAAACTTCAAACTTATTCTCACTGAAATCGTCGCTTAAGAAGCCCACCATCTACCATCCACTCCCCTGACCATTTATTATTATTTATGCAAACAGATAAATGACATTTATCGACTTTTTACGCGCTTTTAACTAAGTTCAAATATGTTTGCCCACTTCTGTCGACCGGCACTCGTATCTTCCGACCAAATGTATCTGTATCTGCGCTGCATCTGTGCCATGTCCGCGTATCTTATATTTGCTTATCGAACAAACAACGCTTGGCAGTCAGTCAGCAGAGGTTTTTACATTTCTTTTTATCACCAGCCCGAAAACGAACGCGGATTCCTTGGGACACCAGAAATCTCATTTTCGCTCTCTCTTGATTTTGTTCGAACTGATATACCCTTACTTTACTTTATCTGCGAGATGCCCTATCGA